AATGATGCGAAAAACATAAAAACGTAAAATATTGATACGATCTTCATCTATAATTTTTACTAGATACTGTTTGCATAGTACAAATTGTGAATCATAACTAGACTTATTTGATTTAATACATATATATAAAATTTATTTTATATATATATNTATTAATATTATAATATATATTAATACTATTGATAATAATTGATAATAATAAAAGAAAAAAATTTTTTTTCAACATATAATTTTGATAAATATATTAAATGTTTTTAATATATTTGAAAAACTTCTAGTTGCTTTTGTTACAAAAACAAAAATAGAGAATACAAAAAAAATCTAAAACATTTAATCTCACATTGAAGAAAGTTATATATAATATTTTTAAAATAGATATAAATATTATATATACATAAAGTAATAGAAATAAATATAAAGTATTTTCAATAAATATTATTTCTATTTAAAATAATAATATAAAAAATAAAATTAAATCTTAAAAAATTAAAAACATTGCGTAACTAAGATAACTTATCATTTAAACATAATTAAGCTTAAGAAAAACTGATAAGAATTTATATATTCATTTTATTTGACAAGCATTAACATACATATTTTTGAATCAGAAATTTTCATTGATATATTGAAATGAATATCTTGTAAAAATTACCCCAAAATTTTAGATTTTAATGTAGAGATTTAATATTAACAATTGTGATACCGATATCGTGCAAAGCTATACCAATAATACCAAAATCATATATCAAAATCGATTTTTTGTATTATATTCTGTATATTTAAAATCAATTAATTTTATCATTTTATATTTTTCAAATTTATATAAAAATAATCTTAATATAAAAAATAAATTTTATATAATATATTTATATTATATAAAATGTTTTTTCTTTGAATTTTGAGTTTTATTAAGAATCATTTATGAAATATATGTATATTGAAATTCAAATTTTGCCATAAAAATTATTAAAAATATATATATAATATTTGAATATTATATAAATATAAAATATTAAATAAAAAATATTATA